CGGCCCCCGGCAGTTTCAAAACTGTCGCAGATGGAGTGGCAATCCTTGCTTCGCAAAGGCGTCCTGGTGACAGAGAAAGTGGCGGCATCGCTCGACACGCTCGTGGTTACTGCTTCGCCTTCAACTCGTCGTCCGGTTGCCATGATCGTAACTGCCCACACATCCACGCCCAGAACCCTTCCCACGCTAGGCGCGGAGCGTCTCGAAACTCCGGCAACCGGCGCGCGCGGCGTTGGCCACGGCAACGGGGGAGGGCGCGGAGGAGAGGCGCGCGCCGCTGGCGAGGGCGGCGCGAGACCCAAGGCCGCTGGCTTCTTCACCCACGGGAAAGACAAATAGGGGTGCGGGCTCTCCCGCGTAGCGGGGGGGCCTACCTCGGATGGCAGCGCACCTGCGGCTAAATCGAACGGCAGCACGCCGGTCTACACGAGGTTGGCTCCAGGGCTATCAGCAGGTTCAGGACCTGGGACAGGCAGGACGGGACTTTGTTACCGACGTCTTGGCATGCAGCTCGTCGAGCACTCAGTTGCGTCTTCGTCTAGAAGGACTTACACGTCAGGCTTCAACTCTTGGTGCACGTTTCGCAGGCTGACGGAGAAGCCCAAGTTCCTAGGGCAACGTGCCGGGGACCTTCATGTGTGGGAGTTGATAGACTTCGTAGCCTGGTGTTTCGAGTCTGAGGGTAATCTAGGCGAGTACAATATCCGGAAAACTCACGGCTGTACAACATTTTCATAGGCTGGAAGCTTCTGTCGAGCTAGACTTGTCGTCTCCGATGTTGAAATGTGCGCTAAGGGGGATTGCGAGGAACCACGTGGCTGTGGGGACGGTACGCCGTGTGCGCCTGCCTGTGTCTTGGCGTATGCTGCTGGACGGGGAAAGCGCAAGCCAGAACTGGGGGGAAGGGGGCAGAGTGATGTGGCTGTGTCTGTGCTTGTCCTATCTCTTTATCACACGGTCTGATGAGGTGTTCGCGAATGATGCGGGCAGGGTGCATGAGGCACACTGTCTTACGAGGGCGGACGTAGCATTGTTTGCTGGCGAGACGCAATTAGTCTTTAGTCACTATCGTAGAGCAGACCGTGTCGAAATGAGGTTTAGAGGGCACAAGGCCGATCAAGAGCAGAAAGGAAACATACGGGTTCGTACGCGAGACGAAGTCACCGGACCGCAGTCAGGTGTGAGAGCACGCGGTGGCGCGGTGGCTCTTGTGGTGGAGCTGTTATCGTGTCATGCGACGTTCCCTGACTCCGCACCGTTGGCTTCGTACCGTAGTGGAAGAGCAGTGAGAGTAGTGAGGTATACTGCTGCCCTCCGTGCACTCAGAGAAGTGGTAGCGAGGTCGGGGCGTAACCCCCAGGAGTACGCGTTGCACTCGTTGCGAATTGGAGGCGCGACGGCTCTTGCATCGGGCGGAGACATCCGCAGAACGAGTGATTCAGAGAGAAGGGAAGTGGAGGTCGGATGCATACAAGCCGTACGCGCGAAACAATGTAGAGGATTCGCGGCGAGTGTCACGGAAACTTACAGACGGCAGTAGGATCGTATCGAGACAGCCGGGGGAGGGGACCGTCTGGGGGAACGGATAGTTGACTTATTCGGTAGTCGTCCAGAAACTGACCTCGATGTGGGTGTTGTAGAATGGTGTGTACCATTTGAGGACTTGGTCAGTTTTGGGACTCCTGCGTTTGCAGTCGTAGTCCCCCGGCTAGTATTTGTGGGGAGAGAGATGGATTTGTAAGAGTTGACGCCGGCCTTTGCAGCTAACGCGGCCGGAGAGACGATGAGCGTTTCGTGCGTCTCTCTCCCCAACACGTAGCCTAGAAACCGAAGAAATAATGAAGCAATTCGAAAGAAAACAAAATAAAAGGAAGGTTTGTTCGTCGAAGCAGATAGAATAAACTGGTGTTTATTTTGTAACAGTCGAATTAGAATTTGGCTTCATTTTCTACCGGAAACCCAGGGTCACGGTGTTTGGAATTATTAGTCTATAGTTGGGGGTGTCATTCCGTGATCGAGTCCACGCAGGGGCTGTAGCAAAGTCGGGTAACGTGTGACAGCTACAGAGCGCGTGAAGCAACGGAAGGACAGCAGCAGCCGCCTAACGCAGTAGCGGCGGCAGTTTAGAAAATCCCGCCCTCCCATCCCTTTTCTTTCGAAGGTGGGGGCATAAGTTCGGGAATATTCGGTATCTAGTCAGGTGTTGTAGAATGGTGTGTACCATTTGAGGACTTGGTCAGTTTTGGGACTCCTGCGTTTGCAGTCGTAGTCCCCCGGCTAGTATTTGTGGGGAGAGAGATGGATTTGTAAGAGTTGACGCCGGCCTTTGCAGCTAACGCGGCCGGAGAGACGATGAGCGTTTCGTGCGTCTCTCTCCCCAACACGTAGCCTAGAAACCGAAGAAATAATGAAGCAATTCGAAAGAAAACAAAATAAACGGGATAAAGACTCGTAAAGAAGAGAAAGCCCAGATGGAGAGGCGGCTTTGAACCTGCACCCAGGACTGGAACTGCTATCCACATCATTTTTCAATCAGCAGGCTTCTTCTCTCGTTCTGTTGGTCGACTGGGTTCGATCTTCACCCCCCCAAAGAGAATCCGCCTGACAAATCTGGTTCACTACAAGATAGGCTGAACATTTTTCCAGCCGGAATGTTGTCGATACTGGATCTTGATAGTTGTGGGGTTAAGAATCCGGCTCTACAAGGAACAGCCAATAAGCGAGCTTCCTTGTAAGGTGAGATTTTCTCTCTCGCTTCCGTTTCTGGGTAGTAGGTGGAAAGTCCTGGGGTCGTGTGTACTTAGAGGGAAGAGAGTGCTGCACTCTTCTTGCAATAAAAATCGAAGGCGAAGTGCCGCATGATGAGGGGTGAGTAGGGGGGCTCAGGGAGAGGACCCCTTCCGTATGACGGGTTGGAGCAAACGGCACAAGCGCTGCGAGCGCTGATTAAAAGTTAAGACAACAATAAAAGAAAATGTACACTCTATAAGAGCTTGGGAAACATCCACATCGTCACTGGCAGTTGCATCAGCCAGTTGTCAACTGGTCCTGCTGCCTGTTTTAGCTAATGTTTATGTTTATTTCCATCTTTCACCTCATCACCTCCTGATTGTTCGTGTGTATGCCTCTGTGGGAAGGATCTGAGGACGGTTCTGTGTTTCGTAGATGAAGGAAACTACTGTGGTACCTGTTGTGGTAGACTTGGATGAGTCTGCGGTGCCCCCCATGCTGCGTCAGCCTGTGTGGGGCACTCTCTTTCTTCTCTGTCTGTCGTGCGTATGCCCTGCGGATCTAAAACAAGCCATCAACGAGACTTTCTAGTCACTGGACACAAATACGGGCATACCCGGCAAACACTCCGGCTCTAGGAGTGATCAACACTCTAGAGTTTCTTTCTCCATCGTCCTTGCAAGGAAATGAAAGAGCCCGTGTCAGCAACATGTCGAGAGGAGTCTCGCAGCAGGAGCTCGCCGCTAAACTCGGAGATGTTAAGCGGGCGTTGACAGAACGCTTTGAGGAGAAGAAGACCAGGGCCGAGGCGAGGATGGAGCAGCCACTCGGTAGCCTCGAGGGACTTTTGCTCTAGCAGCCCACGCGAGAGGGAGGAGGAGGAGGGTCACACGGCGCCGTGGTGGACGGGGGTGCCGTGGGGCGTGCGGTTGGAATCCGGGAGGGAACCGGGAGGGGTTTTGCCGCAGGGAACCTACCCAAGACTGTGGGCGCCAGCGCTCGGGACAGCGGCGGCGTCAGCGGTGGAGTAGCGGGCGGCACAACACGAGCCTGTTGATCGCGGAAAAAGTACTCGATCCGGGAGATCTGGAGTATTGCATTCATGGCGATTCTGGTGAATGTCGACTTGCCGCAGAGGAGCATAACCGCGCGATACTTCTTTGCTTTTGAAAGAGGGCTAACAACAGCGCGGCCTTAAGGCGTCATTTCTGGCTGATTCGTGGGTGATTTCTTGAGTAATTTTGCTTGTGACGAATGATACCGAAAGTGTCTGAAGGGGATTCGCAGTTCAGGCGTTTCTATTTCTGATTTGGTGTTCGTAGAGCGTCTGCAGTTTCGCTTACGATGATACAGCCAATGATGTTGTCGAAAGGGGATTCGCGGTTCGGGCGTTTCCATTCTTGATTGTGAATGTTCTGTTGAGCAACAACTGTAGTTTTCCGAGCGTTTATGGCGGTCTTATTCTCGGAGGATAAGCTACATGAGCGTGAGGCCTTGTAACGTATAGGGAACCCACCATACCCAGTCCCAACACTCCACGCTCCCAGATGTAGGGGGGGCGACGTGAGTTCTGAAAATTGTGCTTTCCAGGTGTAGGGGAAGGTAATGACACTGACATGCACCCCAGTCGAAGGGTGGGTAGCGCAAATATCTCACAGGTGTTCTCTCCAGAAAAAAGGGGGGAGGGCATCCGTATACGCCTTCCAGATGTAGGGGAGGGACGAACAGCAGTGGTTACACAACAGCGCGCCTCCAGACGTAGGGGGGGCAGCGCCAGCCGACGCACCCCAGATGTGGGGGGCAATAGTTCCTTGCCAGTGCACCTCCATATGTAGAGAGGGCCGCACGGGTCAACGCTCTCCAGATGTAGGGGAGGGCAGCAGTTCTTCACCAGCGCGCCCCCAGATGTAGGGGGGGTGGCGCGGGTCGACGCTCTCCAGATGTAGGGGAGGGCAACTTTTCCTCATCAGCGCGCCCCCAGATGTAGTGGGGGCTACGCGGGTCCACGCTCTCCAGATGAAGGGGAGGGCAGCATTTCTTCACCTCCGCGCCTCCAGATGAAGGGGAGGCAGGGCAGGGCTTTTTGGTTGGGCGGTTCTCCAGATGAAGGGGGGAGCTGCACAGTCATCACAGATCTCCGCCAACGCTTCCAGATGTAGGGGGGGTAGCGTGGGCATTTGTCTTTCTTTGTAGTCGGCGCGCTTACCAGGGTGGCGAGCAGCAGCAGGGGTCTTTGCTGGTGGGTGGGAGGAGCCGGAGTCTGCTTGGCAATGGAGAGAAGACCCCCTCTGAGACCGACAATCCGGTTGGTACCTGTAAGCAGAGAATTCTGGTAGGAATTTGAGTTTTTTGTGTGTAGTCGCAAAATATGGGAGGTGGTGATAACCCGATGTTAGTGAACGTGCATGTCTCTGACGACCTCCAACAGTCGCTACCGTGTATGGGTCGTATCAACGTTTATCCTTGTTATTTGAATTGTTGGCCAGATTTCACGGGAGAGCACAGCTGTGTTTCAGCTAACGTTGGTAAATTTTTGTTTGTTTTTCCATGAAAATGTTGAGATGATCATCCGAACCATCGATGTAGTTTGGTCCGCTTGGTATGTCGCCATGTAGAGTAATTGGAGTAGTTAAAATGCCAACGTAGCGCTGTATTTGGCCTTTGTTTGTAGGGAATCGGAGTAGTTGAGATGACAACGATGATGTTTTATTTTGGTAGTCGTGGAATCATTGCGAGGGTTTTTGGCTCGGAGGCCGCGTTTCCCTTGCAACGCCTTTTTTTTCCTGTTTGATTTTTCGGTACGTTGGTTAAATACTATCGTAAGGAACCAGGGAGGGTGTTCGTGTGTATGCATTTGTAGGAAAGATCTGAGGACGGTTCTGTGTTCCGTAGATGAAGGAAACTACTGTGGTACCTGTTGTGGTAGACTTGGATGAGTCTGCGGTGCCCCCATGCTGCGTCAGCCTGTGTGGGGCACTCTCTTTCTTCTCTGTCTGTCGTGCGTTTGTCCTGCGGACATAATACAAGCCATCAACGAGACTTTCTAGTCACTGGACATAAATACGGGCATACCCGGCAAACACTCCGTCCGACTCTAGGGTGATAACAATCAATGATGTTGATCTCTCAAAAGCTCACATTTAATGTGTATTGTAGCTATGCATCATGGCACTAGACTATACATATGTCGGAACAGCTACACCAGTCTGGCCGGCAGTTGCACCCCTGAAGGATATCATTCTATAAATATTTCCAGTGGTAACCCCGGAGACTCGGTTTCGCGTCTTCGGTGGTAACCCCGGAGACCTGGTTTCGCGTCCTCAGTGGTAACATGGAGGCTCTACACTGGCGGCGTTTTCGCGCCCAGTGTTTGTGCCTCGGCCACGTGGGCAGACTACTGGCGCCATGCGCAGGCGTCGCTTGCATAGCT